CCCCGCCAGCCGGCCGTTTGTTACAGCTGTCCTCTGTGGCCAGTTTGGGCTCCAATCTCCCTTCTCCCCACCGCGAGGGCGCAGGAGGCGAGCTCAAACCCTTGCACTCATTTTATTTTCCACTTGCAACAGAGCTGAGGAAGCAGGGGGCGGGAGGAATTTAATATCCCAAACCCGTGGTCCCCTTTTCTTCTCGATGTGCTTAATTAACCCCCGATGCTTCTGTTGCCGTGCAGCCTCCCTGGGTCCTGGGGGGCACCTGGTTCGGAGGGAGCTGTGGGGATGAGCAGGCTGCCGGCGATAAGGACCGGGTGCCTGCCGGGAGGTCTGTCCCTGGGCGATAAACAAACACCCTCTCTCGCCCGTGACCAGAGCCTGCCCTGCAAATCAGCCTTAAATGGAAACGGTCGGCATGCCAGCACGGCCGGGGTGGAAATTCTTGCTTGGCTGGTGAATGACGTATCTGCCGGGGCGTCCCACCCCTCGGGACGGGCTGGGGAGAGGGAGAAGGGAGCATCACCCACCTCCCTCGGTAGCTTAAACACCCACCGGCCAGACACAAAGCCGTCTTTGTTTGGAGCTGTGTAAAAATATTATCTCTGTGGTTTGCCAGCGCAGATAACTGTGTTCATCCAGTTTTATAAATGGGGAGATTGAGATGGACAAAGAAGGCACTGCGAGTTCGTAACAAGTGTTCCGAAGGAGGAGGAGGAGGAGGTATCAGGGGTATGGATGCTGGGGGTTGGCCTCCTGCTGCTGACATGTGTCTGAGGGCCCAGTATAAACGATGGAGCAAACTGGGAAGCTCCACTTCTGTGTCCCTCTTGGCCCACGTCCAGCCTCCTCCCGTCTGAGGGCACGCACGGCAGTTCCCTAAAGAGCATCAGGTTGGCTTTTTGGAGAGAGGACAGCCCGGGTCCTTCCCCATCCCACTGACTATGCACAGAATATGCAAATGCAGAGAGGCCGTGGACCGACATTTCTTCTGAACTAACTGAAAAATTAGTTGTTCTCCAAGGACCCAAATGACTTCAGCTGAAGTCAGTGGTATCTAGAGCACAGAACACATGGTTTTGGTTAAACAAAAGGCCCTGCATACTTTTGGGGCTTGTAATAGAAGTACCCACCCAGGAAACAAGCAGGAATTCTTCTTCTCCTTTAAATCACGCTTCAGCTTAATTATTTTCGGCATCGACAGGCCCTAATTTCTGCAAGGAGCAAACCAGGTTTCCATTGCTCAGCATGGCTGGGTGCATGAGCGCTTATTCGGCTGTGAGTGCAGTCACCAAAGGGAAGATGCTTCCCAAATATCCCCATCTCGAGTGGGTTAGCTACGGCTCCGCCGTTCCCCTTGGACCCGCGGAGCCTCGCTGCCTTCCTCCGCATGCCGGGGCTGACGATGATGCTGGTGCGCTGGTCAACAGCACGTCGGCACTCAGATTTCCAATGCGTGGAGCCCTTTCTTTCCCTGGTGAGCAGCTTTTTTCCCTGCAGCCCCCTCTGAGCCCTGCCACCCGCTTTCAGGTTCTCACCTGCAGTCGCCTCTGCCTTGGGCAGGGTTAGAAAAGGATCAGGCGCTCACGAGTTATTCAGCCGCAGCCTCCGGTGAGTCACTGAGTCACGGCATTTCCGAGGGAGGGAGGGAGCCCGCTTGAAGCCTTGGGCTGTTGAATCCTGCTAACACACCCCAGGATTAGTTACCTCCGAGTTCAGGGCTAGGAAAAGATTAACAAATCATCGTGCCTCTGCTTCGGTTCTGTTTCGTCGGAGTAATTTTTCTTACGCGCTATCCAGATAACCTGACTGCAGAAGACCTGCTTGTGTAATGGCAAAAAGTCCAAAGGTTTAACTTTTTAAACTTTTTTTTTCCCTTTCGGCTCAAGTTCCCCCCGTAAAGAAAAAAAAAAACCAACAAAAAAACAACCCAACACCACACATAACCAAACCCGTGGTGGAATTTCCCCACTTTCCAGCTCAGAGGCGAAAAGATAACTGTTTTGCAAGACGAGCGAGCATTTCGGCAGCACCCAGACTTTGCACCTTGCACGGCCACGGTCCCCCCGGGAGTCCCGACAGTGGCCGGGATTTCTCACCAGGGCGTATTTGTGTAACCCCCTTTTCCCTGGAAAACTAAAACCGGTGGATTTGCTCGCTTGAGGCGGCTGCTGCGTGATGGGCAAAGAATGCGAGCCGGGGAAGCAAGAACACCCTGGGAGAAGCATTCCTGACGGCTCCTATCTGATTTGGGAGCTTCGAAACCGACGTTGGCACGGGGGTAAAAAAAAAAAAAAAAAAAAGAAAAAAAAAAGAAAAGAAAAAGGGAAAATAAGATGTGCTAAAAAAACCCCTGAAGATGCTGTGAGAGGCGAGTTCAGCTGTTACCAAACCCCACGCTGAAACCCTGGTGTGGTTTCTCGGTGGTGGCAGGACCACGAGGAGGTTTGGCAGAGCAGCCTGCCCTGGGACAGCCCTCGGGGTCGTCGTCGTCATCGGAAATCGTAGTCCTGGTTTTAGACCTCCTAGTCCCAGTCCCAGTCCTAGTCCCAGTCCTGCTCCTCCTCCTCCTTCTTCCTCCTCCGCCCCCTCGCTATATAACCCCGGGCCGCCGCGTTGCTCCATACATTGCACCACCCGTCGAAGTGGGAGTCGCTCGTCCCGCGGTGGCAAAGCCGTGTCGGGGCCGAGCCGTGCTCACCCCCGAGCCGTGCCCGCCGCTTCTCCCTCCGCTCCTCTCCTCTCCGCTGCGCTCCGCTCCGCTCCCCCCCCAAAAAAACCCGCGCAAGATGCGCTGGGCGCTGCGCGGCGCGCCCCGACGGCGCTGCCTCTCGCTGCTGCTGCTGCTGGTGGTGGTGGGCACGGTGCGTGGGAACGGGGCAGGGGCGTGGGGAACACGGGG